TGTATCATTAGGAGCCCTGGTGGCACAGTGGTTAAAGTGCTTGGCTGTTAACCTGCAGTTCGAACCCACTAGCCATGCCAGGTAGAAACATGGCAGTCTGTTTCTGTAAAGATTTACAGCCCTGGAAACTCTAAGGAGCAGTTCTACTCTGTCCTACCAGGTAGCTGAGCTGGCAACAATTTCCACACAGTGACCTGGTGCTTTTGGTATGTTCTATTATTTCATTTCAATCCTGTAACTATGTTCAACAGTGAGTAAATGGGTTTAAGGAGGGAAGGGTTTAAGGAGGGAATCATTAACTGATAAGCATCTTCTGGCTTCTACTCACTTTCAGAGTTGGTTGTCATTCTCAGGAATAAAACAAGTCAGATACAATCAGGATTAAACTAAGGTACAATGTATATACCTGGACTCTGGAGCCTGACTGCCTAGGTTCAGATGATGTGCCAGTTCTGCACGTAATTTCTGTGTGATTTTCCTTAAATCACTTTATATATTAATATCAGTAATAGTAGCAGTGTTTTTTCTGCTGGCCAGAGTCAGCACATTACCTACAAAGTGAGTCACCTTCCTGCTGTTTCTTTTGGTTTTAATCTCAGGACTGAAAGATACCTGTTAATTTTGGTAAGAGATCCTGTGAATAGTGGTGCCTTTTGGAGTTGATGTTAGCTTTCATTCTGAGACCAGAGGGATAATGAATAAACAAAATTGTCTAATAGTCTTGTTACTGACTGTGGAAAGCTCACTCTTCTCACCAACTAACGCTGTGCCGCACCCTGGTCCCCTCAGCCCCACTTTTCTCAGTCACTCGCAGGCGGGCTCTCCGCACCCCGGGCCCACCCTCGCTTCTCCCGGTTACTCGTAGGCAGGCGCGTCGCATCCCGGACGCATCCCGCTTTCCCCGGCCACTCGCAGGCAGGTGCCTATCACACCGGACCCCATCCCGTTTCCCCGAGTCACTCACAGACAAGCACGCGCCTCCTGGCGGGCCACGCAGGACCGCAAGCGTGCGCAGGCGCGCGGCGCAGCTCCTCAGCATGGCCTCTGAGAGCAGCGCGGGGCTCCGGAAAGTGAACCGGTGGCAGATTTGTGGCCGTCTCTCTCGTCTTCGCTGCGGCAGAAAAGACAAATTTGCTCGCGCGCACGCCCACTCTAACCTTGGAAGAGCCTTCAAGGTGGACCCAAGCCGGAGGGCGGAGTCAGGCGGAGACACTACGCGGGGCCCAGTGTCCTCCAAGGGTTACCCGCGGGCAGGGTGAGAAGGCTGGCAGGGGCCTCGGGGGAGGGATGGACAGCGATATCCGCTGTGGTGACTAACTTCTGACCGCAGCTTTTTCGTTCCGGCAAACCTTCACCAAAGAGCCCTGGTGGCGCAGTGGTTAAAAGAGCTATGCTGCTGAGGCTGCTAACAGACAAGTTGGTGGTTCTACGCCACCAGCCGTTCATGTGGCAGTCAGCTTCCGTGAAGGTTAAAGCCTGTGGGGCAATTCTGCTCTGCCCTACAGACTCGTTATGAGTCAGAATCGATTTGAAGGCAATGGGTTTGGGTTTGGTGTTTTTGGTTTAGACCTTCCCCCGGTGATTTTCCGACCTTGTAGCGCGCCCGAGACCAGTTCCGGGATCGCGCAAAAGACTGGGAGTGAGGCTAGTGCTGGGGGCTAGCGGGGCCTGCGGGCAGTGGACTTCCGGGGCGGACGGACTGGGAGGCCGGGTTGCTGGCGGCGCAACCCCCGCCCGGCCAGCCATTAGTGGCCGACTCAAGTCCAGACTCTTCCCTTTAAGCCTGAGCTTAAGAGTCGCCTTTCTCATCTTGAGCAGGCAGCATTCAGTGCTTTCCTTTTCTCACGTAGTTCTCCCTCCTGAAGAAGACATAAAAGTTCCTCATATGGGTAGTAATGCAAAAAAAATGTAGTTGCATGAATAAAGTTTTTTTTTTTTTTTTTTTAATTGTGATTTGGGTGAAAGTTTACAGAGCAAATTCACTTTCCATACAGCAGTTCATATACTTTCTCTCATGACATTGAGTACAAAGCAGTTGCCACCTAGTCCATTCAGACTAATGGTGACCCCAGTTGTATCAGTATAGAAGTAGATGACAGACCTTTTTCCTGAGGTATCTGTAGTTACCACCTTTGGTTACTAGCCCAGTGTTAAACCGGTTGTGCCACCCCGGAACTCAGCTTATCAGACAAGACCCTAAAAGCTTTCAAACCAAACTCACTGCCATCCAGTCAGATCCAATTCATAGTGACCCCTCCTTGGGTTTCAGAGCTGACTAATTGCAACCCCTCCTTGGTTTTCTGAGGTGGCATCACTATCGAAGTAGATTGCCCAATCTTCCTTCTGAGGAGTGGCTAGTAGGTTTGAACCTCCAGCCTTCTGGTTAGCAGTCAGATGCCTTAGGCAGTTCTCGGAAACCCAAGGAGAAGTCACTATGAGTCGGATCTGACTTGATGGCAGTGAGTTTGGTTTGTAGTATCTATGAAACACCAAGAACCAGAATGTATTAGGCATTTTGGCCTTGATTCCTTTCTCATTAGCATCTCCATGAGTTTGTCAGCTGGAAAGAACACCCAGATACATTTTAAGTTTACATTGTTAACTGGGGGAAAGTAATAGCATTTTGAGAGAAACAATTTGAGAGAGAAGGCAATGCTGGCAGGAGGAGTACTCTGAATCCCAGAGCAGCTGAGACTGAAGATCATCAGGCATAAATGGTAGTTGTTGAGATTCTAAGAGGCTGTCTTCTCTTCTCCTCTGCCACCCCTGCATCCCCAACTTCATTTTAGCTCTCTTCAATGCAGTTTTCAATTCTAGTTTCCTGGGAACAGAGGTGAAGTCATATTATCTTGTTAATTGTAGTATAATAGCTCACATAGTACTTAACTACTTGTTCAGTAGCAAGAACCCAAAGTATCTTTGATGTCTCTTCTCTTACCAC